GCAGTCAAGTATGGGCGGTGGGAACTTGGAGGATTCTTCTAATCCTAATCCATCCGCAAATGGGTTTTACCCTTTTGAGTCGCCGAGGCTAACTTCAGCGTCAATCTCTTCTGCTTTAGCATCGCAGTTTTCTTCGGTTAAAGTTGAAGATAATCCTTACAAATGGGTTAATGTCAATGGTAATTGCTCTTCCTGGACTGATCTTTCTGCTTTCGGCTCTTCTCGTTGAGTTCAACCACACAATAAAAAGGAAACTTGAGGGTATACTTTGGTGGGGAAAAAACTAGTTACCAGGTTAATTTTGTCTTATTTTTCGTTTTTGATTAGTTAATGTTGTTTACTACTTTCCTCGTTCTCAATCTACTATGCTTCTAGTTCTAGGTAGCCTAAGTTATTGGATGTTTTTGAGACTATCCCTTTGTTATTTTTGTCGACAATGTTCTTTCGTTATCTTTCGAGTTTGGTCACTACTATCAAATGAACTTAATGTATTAAATAGATCTTTCTATCGATCTTAATTAAAAATTCTGATATATTGGACGAGTACTTAATTTAATTTCATACTAATTTTGTCTAATCCGTTACTTTTATTTTCCTAGGACTTATATATCGTTTAATTTGTTGTTAGTTATTTCATATTTAGTGACTAGTAATTTCTGGCATACTTTGAAGCCAAATGATTATATATGTTAAATTTGTAAACCACACTATTTTAACCGGAAATCGCCTAAAGAACACTAGTTTGGTCAAATAGTTTCTCCGCAGTTCGCTCTCCTCTTCAGTCTTCACTGATCGAATTTGAATAAATGATATAAACTGAAAGGGGAAATATACGTCTCTTTTATTTGCTTTAATGAATCCACAATTAGCCAAATTTCCCTTCAAATCTCTACTAACGAATCCCAAAATAGAGGAATCTAAAATGAATTGTTTTTATTTGTGGATATATCGTAGAAATCATGTACATATACTTTCAATGTCTGATACAAAATCTTTTCATTTGATTCAACATGCTTTTTCATATAATTTGGTCTGATTTAAAGGTATACTTTACCCAAATAAACGCATTATTTACAAGGAATATTGTTTAATTCTTGAGATTGAAGATTTGAATATGGAACAAAAGAGTGGTGAAATAGAAACAAAAGAAAAAAACTTGTTGTGGATTGGGTTGAATTGACGAAACCAAATCAAAAGTAAGGAATCTTAGGTTTAATAATTCCATATTTTCTTTTCTATGTCCAAAGTAAAATAGTGTCTTTTTTTGTTAAAGTAATATTATCATCAAGATGTAGTTGTGTGAAAATAAAATAATAACTCTTTTTTTCAATCACATTTTAATTACGTAGTAGATGATAAATTAATCGTACGTAAGATGACGGCCGGATTTTATTCTTACATGTGACTACGAAACATTAAGAAGGACAGAAGCAGAGAATCAATGTCGGGACGAGAATTTAATCTTAAGTTGTCAGTTTGAACGCGCCTTGGGACGCGTGTACACAACTCACAAGGTGACAAGTTTGCTTTTTTGTCAGTTTGTGTGGGCCACGTCATCCATTTTCACTCTCAATTCTTAGAAGAACTCATTCTCAGACTCTCTACTGATTT